CACACCAGAATCAAACAGCTAGGAACAAAACTAAATGTACTAAAGAACAAACCAAAAAATCAAACTTGATATTTAAATAGCACAGCAAGAAAGTCAAAACTATGATGTTGGGTAAACTATCCCAGGTTTATGGCATGTCTAAAATCTGTCACAAATAATTCTATTTTCAGTTCAGTTTAATTACATAGTGCCAAATCACAACAGCACTTGTCTCAAGGTGTTTGTAATTTAAGGTAAAGAACCTACAATAATACAAACTATTAAAAATAATGACATCCAAAATAGTTTTCCTGTGAAACACAACAGTAGCTTGAAGAGAGTATTTACACACTGGATATGTTGGGTCATTCATCTGTTTCCTCAGGAATTTCATCTCAGTGTGACCAGGGAGATGTAGTATATCCTGTTCTCGATTCATTTATTAGCAACTATCCTTGTCGATGTCAATGCAAAGCACTGTAACCCAAAACACAAATGTGAATTTAAAATGATAAAAAACAAATACCGGTAACGGAATGACTTGTGTTTTTAGTTTGCATACATTCTTTCTAAGGACCATGAAGTGAACATAAAGTTACAAGTTTCTGCTTTCAAACTAGAAATAGTTTCAGTAGATTTACCTGGATTCAGAGTAGGTGCTTTAGTAGAGCAAATGTTGTTTTTCAGACCTGGCAATTGAAGAAAGGTGAGATTTAAAAACATTCGGGTGCTTATACCTGACCTAATCTTAATCAAAACAGCAGCTTACGTTGACAGATGAATGGCAGTTTTTTATGGCAGTTTGCATCCAGCCACTTGATTTGTTTTGCCTCATTAACTGTGATGATCTTTCCACAGTGGTTGTTTAAGGAGTTTACAGGAAAACTGTTGTTCCACTGAGAATATAAAACCTTTGACCCTGAAATCCATTTCCATTCAGGATTTTTGCCAAAAATGGATCGTTCCAGGCCAACCCACACCCCTGTGTGTGACTCTGTTTTATTTTGCAGCAAATTTTTAACTTCAATATCGACTGTGTCATTGTAGATTTCAACCAAGGAGGAATTGTCTTGCCGACAGTGCTCCAATGCATCAATCCAAGTTTTGTTTACTGAGTTGAACTGCAGATCTGAACACAGAAAAGGTAGGTTAAGGTTTTTGCAACACAGATTTTAGGATGTGGTGACACAAAACAATCTTCTGCCTCACTGCTGCAAATGCAAAGCTATTTTTAGTTTTCTACATTGGGCATTCAATTAAAAAAATCTGGTTCAATGCAGGTAAATATACATCATTTTACAATGACTATAATTTTAATTTTATTTTAGCATGTACAAAGTCTCATCTCTACGTTATTCTTTTATTTGGTCATTTGTATTTTTTCTTCTGACTAGTCTAGTGCTACATTTCTCCTGGAGGCATATCATATGTTGAGTCATATTTCAATGATAAACAACAGTCAGCAGTGATTATTTTTTTAATTACAGAGTAATTTCTATTTCGTGTGTGTGGTAAAGCTCTAAGTTGAAAAAGTTCTAAAAACTGCTTCAAACGCAGTAAGATGGTTTTGTTATGTTGAATAAAACTTACCCGTGCCATTACAGATACTGCCTGGGTGTTCTTGAGTGCAGTTAAATTCCATCCTTCCCTTCCCATTAGATCCCAAGGAGATACATATTTTCTCTCTGTAAGAAAAAATAATTACCTGTAATGTACACTATGTAGGATTCTTAAGATTACATTAGCAGCAAAATGGATGCAACACATATTTACCCTGGTGTAAAGTTAATACACGTGCTCTTAGTAAGATTTTTGTCACAATGATTTCCACTGACAGCTGGAGTGGATATGCTGTTGCACTTCTGAGCAGTGTCAGGTTTTATGTTGGTCAGTTTTATTTTGGGTCCTTGGAAACCATATGTAAGAACACACAGCATGCAGACATCTTGTTTTATGTTGTTTTTTTGTTTTTTTAAACTATGGACATTTAGTAGAGATAAGAACAAAAATGGGGTTTGGAGAGCTTACCTCCATTTACCTGAAAAGACAAACAGCTAGTTTTGTACATATTAAAGCTGTTCCCAGGCATACAGTGATCCAATGTCTGACCCACAACCATCAGTGTGTCAGGCTCTGTGCTGGTTTGAAAACATTGAAGTGTCCAGTTCCAACTGTCAACTATGCAGTTAGCAGGGCAATCTATGTTTGGATCTTCTGAGGAACAGCTGAACACCTGGACTGTTGATCACACAAACTGTATTTAGTTTCCTTGTATATATATATTACCATAGGTGTTTTGCTTTCCCTTTCCCTTTTATTTTATCAATAAATTAGAGAAAATGATATGCAGTAAAAAATAAATTGTTTGAAAAAAAGTAAAAATAAGAAATGCAGGAACAAATGTATAAAATAAATAATAGACAAGCACGAACTTTACAAGAAACATGCATTTTAAAGCTTCAGAGGGATTGAACAAAACCAAATAACTTTTTCTTAAAATGAAAATAGTGCATTTACTAGAGCAGAGAATAGGTTCTTCCTCTGTGTGAATTGCTACAGTGATTGGGTTTGATAATTGTAATTTTGATAAAATAACGTTTTAAGGTTTCTAACTATGACCAATCAGTTGGTAACATACCCAGCAGCAGTGATAGATAGGTCAGTCTTGCCATGACCTGTAAACATGACCAGAAAAATATTGGAAAGTTATGAAAAAAACATACACAGCACATTCACGTAGAAAAGTTAAAATACTTCCACGCTTTGCCCAAGTGTTAATGTAACTGTGAAAATTACATATTCAAGGTGCAAAACTAGAGTTAGGGTACAATCTAGGCATTCAAATAGATACACAAATAGATACACATTATATACTGTACACTTGTTTTCATGATACAGAAACACTTAAAAATGATAACTTGGATTCTAGTACTTAGTGCAAATGTCGAAACAGTTTGTCCATTAATCATAAAATCATCATAGCCAGAAGTTTTGAGTACAGTAGTTTATTTGTATAAACATATATAAACTACTGTAATAATGATTCAATTCTCTTAAGACTGTAGCTGGTATAGAAAACGAATAGCTCCTCTAATCAAACACGTTGCTTAGACCTACCAAACCAAATGTTCCTTTTCTTTTTAAACTAAACGAGTAAGTTTATTTTTAAAGATCAATCACATATAACCAAATTTCTATATTTGTGTTCTTCAGACAGATCTTGTACTTACCCCATTAAGATTTTTTAGTTGTTGTGATATAAATGCAGGCATAGAAATGTGATGTTGTTTTATAGAGATCCACAGGTGTTCAGATGTCACCTGTTTTGACTAAAGAAACACACCCACAAATGCTTATTTGGCTTCTTCTTTCTTTCTTTCTTTTTTGAAGAAGAATCCCCTAAGGCCCTGTGGATATGCAGTGTGGTTAACATTTCTAATATAATAATATAGTCTGATATAGTAAGGGGGAAAACAAACATTCTAATAAATGAATCTAAATAAACTCTGTCAGGTTATTCTGTGCAATTTTAACAACAGATTAGCTATTGTATGCCCGTCCTCTGATCTAAAAGAAGATACATAATTTGATTATAAAACTAAATCTAATCTGTATCACTGTGGGGGTGACGTTCCACTGAGACATCCCATTGGAGTCTAACCACCAAATACCTCCATCTAAATTCTGTACATCAATACATTATGCTTGTTTCTCTTCTTCATGAAATCAAGGGTGCTTCTGTTATTACTCTCTCAATAAATGCTGTATTGAGAGAGACAGTCATTCTTATTTGTTTACTGTATGCTTTACATGATGCTTGCAATGGGTTCCACTGAAATGTAGACATTTAGCTCTGATGGTTTCTGTAATATAACACCATATACCTGTCTGCCTATAGTGTACCAGCTTTGCAGTGAAGTCAATTTCTTAGCTACAGTTTACAAAATAGCAAAGGCTGGAACCATTTATGCAGCATGTTTTGTTGTTGTTGTTTTTTAATATTTCTTGATAGTGGGTCAGATTTCTTTATAATTGTCTCAGAGTATGCAACAAATCTAAACAAGCATATTTTATTATTGTTTTTTTCAGCTGCTGTTTCAAGTCATCCTTAAAAACTGATAACAGGAAACTCATACTGGAATTAGTTCACAGTGTTGTACTTCCCTTTTTTACCCTATGTAAGTATGTATGTAAATCTAGATCCAGAGACCGTACAGTGAGAAAGTGTGTTCAGTCAAATGGGAAACAAATATGTGGTTATCAGTTTTCATGACAAGCAAACCAATATATTGAGTCACAGCCACAATATGAAAAAGCTTGTATTTTTAGTATTATGTTTACAGGAAGTGTTGTTGAATCACTAGTTAATCTGCCACCACCTGCATGTATACTTGTAGAATTAATTTAGTGCTTTAGATTTCACATTATGACTCATTTTTCATGTTTTCAAATGTGATTTAAAAGGTTCACTTGCCTGCTTATCTACCAGTACTGCAGACATAAAGCTGGGTAAGGTGGATAGCACACATTTACCTTATCTCTATGCCACATTATCCCATGCGAAGTATAATTTGCATTCAGAAAAGTAATCTCTATATTTAAGTTGTGTTTTTTAATTCATATAAGGAAGCATTCCTCCTTAAAAGTTAGTAGCTATATAATTTTCAGTTCATTTCCTTTTAATCTTTGCTGTATAAAGGTACTTTATATTGACCTGATCTGTCACGGTTACTGCAGTAGAAAGTCAACATTTTCTCTGTTTAAAATAAAGTCTCCCTTCCTCTGATGACTGTTTACTAATCTTATTCCATGAGATAATGAAAGGGAGGAGAACGAGGATGTGGTTTATATATAGTCTGACACTTGAATGAATCACTAACAGTTGATTTGCCACTGTGGTTACACATCTAGAGAGGAGCTACATAAACATACAGAGTTTTGGGGATAACTAATATAAATAACTTTGTATTAAAACAATAAATATTTATGTGAAAATATATTAAAGACAAATCTAATTGAAGTAGAACTGCTGAAGGAAACATGAAGTAAATTCTATCTTTTTGTGACTGTATGTGCAGTGATGTGAATTCTTTATGTTTGTAATTTGTTTACTATTTGAATTTTCTTCGCTCTTGCTAAATTTCTTTCTGCAGTTAAATTCTAAATTGTGGACATTCACTTTCTAACCTTTTCTAAAATAGTAAAGGTAGAAGTCTGAGTATTGTTTACTATAAGTGCCACGATCAATAGGGGAGCTACTGTTAAAAAGAGGAATTGATAGGATTTGACCTCCATGGCTACTCGGGTTTCTTCTTATCAGGGTTAGCAAGGAAGACACCTGGACAATTTCAAGGTAGTTAGTACTGGGCACATGTGCATTTTCAAGCTACTGTTGTGTTTCACAGGAAAACTATTTTGGATGTCATCCTTTTTAATAGTTTGTATTATTGTAGGTTCTTTACCTTAAATTACAAACACCTTGAGACAAGTGCTGTTGTGATTTGGCACTATGTAATTAAACTGAACTGAAAATAGAATTATTTGTGACAGATTTTAGACATGGCATAAACCTGGGATAGTTTACCCAAGATCATAGTTTTGACTTTCTTGCTGTGCTATTTAAATATCTGACTCTGGGAACTGATAAAAGACCGGATCCAGATGACCTGAGGGATCTGGAAGGTTCATACTGGGTCAGGAGGTCATTGATGTATTTTGGTCCTAAACCATTCAGAGCTTTATAGACCAGCATCAGAACTTTAAAGTCTATCCTCTGACGGACAGGCAGCCAGTGTAAGGACCTCAGAGCTGGACTGATGTGGTCCACTTTTTTGGTCTTAGTGAGGACTCGAGCAGCAGAGTTCTGAATGAGCTGTAGTTGTCTGACTGATTTTTTAGGTAGACCTGTAAAGATGCTGTTACAGTAATCAAGCCTACTAAAGATGAATGCATGGACTAGTTTTTCCAGGTCCTGTTGAGACATCAGATCTTTTATCCTCGAAATATTTTTGAGGTGATAGTAAGCTGATTTTGTTATTGTCTTAATGTGTACAACTACCATTGCTACTACTCCTGTTACTGCTACCGCACAAGGGCCTTGAATGGACATGTGGCAGCAAGGGTTAGAGGTCAGACACCTGGGGCCTGCAGGTTTGAGTTTGGTGCTAACAACTCTAGCTCGTACAAAGTACTAACATCCAAGTGGTAAATGGTGTTACCTCTGAGAACTATAAGACAGTGCTATGAAAATAGTTTGTGGCCATGTCCACACTGATACGCCTTTTGTGGTCAAGGAAAACTGAGCTTTTTGAAAACGCTCTCTAAAGTGGATAATTTTGAAAAAAGCATTTTCGCGTAGCAGTGAGGACTGGGAAAACGGATGCTTTCCAAGTCCTCACTGCATTTGATGCAGTGCAATGATGCATTTTAGTAATATGATGCAGTCTGATCCAGAAGTCTTTTGGTTTGGTGAGATGCAGTTTGGACAGTTTAAGCCTCCTTTATGAATTTTTGGGATGTCCACTCCTAGAGAGATTGGCTGCTGTCTTGCTTTCCATGTGTCAATATCTTTTCTCACTGTAGAAAAACTGACTTCAAATATAAAATTGTTTTGTAACCATTCACAGACTGACAGGCAGCAACAACATGTTTCCTAAGATTATCTGATGATCAGAAAAGACACTGGCTGTAATCAAGTGCATTAGGAGAACCTGGCTGCTTCTTACTCTGTTATTTCCTATGGAAGCAGTAACAGTGTACCTAGTTTTCCTCTGCATTTTGGTTTAGTTTTCATAAAATAAATAATAACACAGAGTAATATCTGATGTGTTGTTTATCATCTTAGGCTGTATTTACTTAATTTAAAACTGATCAAATGATTTTTTTATGTCCTGATATGTTGAACTTACATGCTATTCTTAAAAAAGTGAAAAGCACACATTTGCATTCTATTCGACTGAAAAAACAACTTTCATGTTATCTCACAATACAGTCTCTGTATTCATATTTGCATTAGCTACACAGAAACAGGAATTTGTTTTTTCAGGAAAGAGGGGAAGCCCGATAATTTTATTTTAATATGAAATTTCCTGTTGTCAACATGAAAAAAATAAAAATACATCATAAATAAGTACGTCAAAAAGATGTCTGGAAAAACATAGCTTAAAAATAAATGTTAAAAAAAAAAAAAGATTTAAGACCAGTTTAATCTTCAGCCTCAACTTTGTTTGTGTAACCCAGATGTGTCTGCTGAAATACCCCTGAAGCCAGTTAGGCAGGAACAAGTGAACTTTTCCACATTTTGTCACATTACAGCCACAAACATGAATCAGTTTTATTGGAATTCCACGTGAAAGACCAACACAAAGTGGTGTACACGTGAGAAGTGGAACGAAAATCATACATGATTCCAAACATTTTTTACAAAAAAACAACTGAAAAGTGGGGTGTGCGTAATTATTCAGCCCCCTCAGTCAGTACTTTGTAGAACCACCTTTTGCTGCAATTACAGCTGCCAGTCTTTTAGGGTATGTCTCTACCAGCTTTGCACATCTACAGACTGAAATCTTTGCCCATTCTTCTTTGCAAAACAGCTCCAGCTCAGTCAGATTAGATGGACAGTGTTTGTGAACAGCAGTTTTCAGATCTTGCCACAGATTCTCGATTGGATTTACACTTCTCACATGTACACCACTTTGTGTTGGTCTTTCACGTGGAATTCCAATAAAATTGATTCATGTTTGTGGCTGTAATGTGACAAAATGTGGAAAAGTTCAAGGTGGCCGGATAGTTTTGCAAACCACTGTATGTACTGGATGAGCATTAGCCTTTAGGCAAACACAACTTGCTGCACCAAATATGCAAATGACATGATGTTACACATCATTTATGACATTTACATTTCTGTGTACTAAAAACAATGAACTTGAAGAGCACACAAGTGTCTTTTAGCTGCATTAAATATTGTCCTGTAGCTGGCATTAAATAAGGACTCTGAGTATTTAGCTCTTATGGCATGAAAGAGTGCATTAACAATTGCAAGCTGATATTATTTGTTGAATAATTAGTCAGTGTACAAAATAACTTGATACATAAGTACCTGATCGTCACATTAAAACTATCAATTTGAATGAAGTTTGACGGCAAATGCTCCCTGCATTCTTCTCATAACCAGGGCAGATGAGATTAAAAAACTCAGCTATTTTGTTTTTACTTACTTTTTAATGTTTTTTGTATAATTATGTGTGTGCAATTTCTTACATTATACATTAAATAACTCTTAATTCACAAATTTGACTAGTAAATGAATCTCAAAGCTAAAATGAAGCTCAAATATCTTGTAAATGCAAGTGTATAAGCTATAAGCTATTTGAAATTTGGAAATTACAAAAAGTCCAAAGACCTTCAAGTAGGAGGGTGTGTTTAGTCAAATAGGAAACAAATAGAAGCTTATCAGTTTGTTTGAACAGCATACTGTCAGTGTTTGTATAGTTGGCAGACATAAATGCTTACATGGAGGTTTAAAAGTGAGCGCTTTTATTAGGTTGGTGGAACTGGTACAAAACAAAGGCAAAAGTCTAAAACATAAACCCGAACTAAAAAAAAATCTAAACTGGAAATAACAGAAAACCGAAACATGAAGAGGGCCGTCATGAGACAGGAACTAGACAGATCGCTAATGGGAACATAACAGATTCTCTGACAGGGCACATAGGCAGACAGGAATAGTATGAACACAAGAGGGTGAGTATGGAAGTGGAAACAGATGTGAACACAGCAGAGACAAATCAGGGTAACATGACAAGGGAAGTACATCTTTGGGCAACACACACTAAACAAGAAACTATCACAATAAAACAGGAAACACAACTAATACGAGGACCAGGAAGTTGCAAACATGGAATCACAAATAGATGAAAACTAGACAGAACAAAAACAAAAGGGAAACCTGATAACTAGGGAAGGAATACATAAAAGACTCAGAATATAGGCCTAAACCCCAAAACTGAACTAGATGATAAACAAAACCTTAGAATATCGATATACAAAAAACCCAGGAAATACTGAGAGTGAACAAAACTCAACACAGGTATTCTGACACATACAAATATATTAACTCAAACAACAATGAGAGATCAAAAAAACATTTTGTATTTTAATTAAAATGGCATAAAGGTCAAGATTTAGAAAATCAGCATAAACACAACAGGAAGACAGCCAGGTCAGTTTCATGTAGACATCCAAAGTCTCAGGAAACAAGATTTAAAAAACATAAAGACTAAAACTCAGAATATTTCCTTATTTATTTATTTATTTAAAAATAGTATTTTAGTTAGCTTTCAGTGTTCATTAGATCCTGTAGCCTTTCTCCTTGCTGTCGTCGCCTTTCTTCTCGCTGCTGCCGTTGCCTTCCCCCATGCTGCCCTGGCCTTTCTCCTCGCCGCTGTCGCCTTTCTCTTTGCTGCCATCGTTGTCGTCATTGCCTTTCTCCTGCCTGCTGCAGCTGCTGGCTTCCCTTTCTTTCACAAAAATCAATAACCACTCACTCAAAACAATTCAGTTGATTGTATATGAGCATCCTCAAAATTTCAAACCTGGAAAAGGGGAGAATTTAACATTTGGTATCAATATCATGCCAGACTGACCCAAACAAATCAGCAGCTTACCTTTGCAGATGTAAGGTATTTTTTCATGACAGCTGGCATCCAGCCACTTAATTTCTTTTGTCTCATTAACGAAGACGATCTTTCCACAGTGGTTGTTTAAGCCGTTGACTGAATCAGTGCTGTTCAACTGAGCATTTAGTAGTTTTGACCCTGAAATCCACTTCCATTTATCCTTGTTGCCAAAGATTGGTCGTTCCAAGCCAATCCACACACCATCCTGCAAGATTTTATTTTGCAAGAGATTTTTCACTTCATCCCTCACAGTCTTGTTGCATATTTCAACCAGCGAGGTATTATTTCTCTGACAGTGCGCCAAGGCCCCAATCCAACTTTTAGCTTCCTCGTAGAACTCCAGATGTATACCTTGACACAAAAAGAACAATTACAACATACAAGTTACATTTTTACTTTAATACTGGAAAATATTGTATACTTGATGCAAATTAATCCTTGTGTCTGTGATTAAAATTATAGCTCTGGTGTCCAAATCCCTCCTGGAACAATCAGCTTTTTGGTCAGGGGTGAGTTAAGTTCTGCTTTTGTAACAACAGCAGGACATTGTGCTTTCACTGTGTTGAATTAAACGTACCCAAGGCATCAGCGAAGAGCAGCTGGATTATTACTGTAACAGAGCAAGATCACAACAAGAGTTGGATGATTTTGTCCACAAATAATTATTTACTTAGAAAATATATCAAAATGAGTAAAGGAAAAAGCGAGTAATTGCAAAAATGTAGAGATAAATACGCTAGCACTTTTTTAAAAATGATAATTCATTTAAATTTCAAGGAATACATAATAATGTAGGGGCTTCTTAATCAAAATTTATATAAAGTCTCTTATTAGTACTTTGTGTTTTGTTTTTTGTTTCTTTGTCTGCCACCTTGTCACAACAGGCAGCTCTGGCAGATAATTTCATTTTAATATGAAATTTCCTGTTGTCAACATGAAAAAAATAAAAATACATCAGAAATAAGTACGTCAAAAAGATGTCTGGAAAAACATAGCTTAAAAATAAATGTTAAAAAAAAAATAAAGTTTTAAGGCCAGTTTAATCGTTGAACTTTGTTTGTGTAACCCAGATGTGTCTGCTGAAATACCCCTGAAGCCAGTTAGGCAGGAACTAGTGAACTTTCTCACATTTTGTCACATTACAGCCACAAACATGAATCAATTTTATTGGAATTCCACGTGAAAGATCTTGTCACAACAGGAAGCTCTGGATATTTTGGTATCTTCCTTCCTGACACAACCCACAAAGAGAATATTTGTTTTGGAACTGGACAAGTAACCTCTTATTAAGCTAAGCAGATTTGAAAACCAATATACAATGGAGCCACAAAATTCACAAGTCAGTGGCTGGTTAATAGTGATGTGCGGTTCAATACTGAAATATCAATTCCTCTGATACCAGTCATTTATGTTCTACAATTGATTCTCACATTAAAATATCGATATTTTAGTAATTTAGAGTAAACTTGTAGTTTATCATTAACAGGATCACAGTGGGAAGATCCTATTTCATTCGGATTGTCTACATTGGAAGGAACTACTTCCTCTTCCGCTTTTCATAGTCATGTGCGAAATACGGCTGTATAAATGTGTCGCAGTCCCTTGGCGTGCGCAGTCACAACAATGGCTGAGCGTAATTGGAGTTATGTTCGGACGTATTTTACATCCACAAACGTGGTTTGTGATACATGTGGCAAGAAAGTGAGGTGTTGTGGCAACACCACAAATTTGTCAAACACCTCAGAGTAAATCATATCACAGAATATGATGAGCGTATGTTGAGGCGAACTGAGGAGGAGGAGGAGTGGACAGGGACAGGTGCTGCTAGGGCGAGACAGACGTCTCTCATGGAGTCCTTTAGTGCTGCAGGCAGGCAAGGTGTTCAAATAGCGCACAACTTCAGGTTTTTTTTATTTCTATATGATGAATTCTGTATTATTAAGTGATAAGAACAAGTAATCTGATGTCCTGTAATCATTATGATGCTATAATTTGAGATACAATAAATGAAATACGTTTTTGCACAAAGTATCGTGCAAAAAGGATCAGTATCGTTGATACCACCCTGAATTTTACTTGGTATTGGATCGGAAAGGAAATCAGTGGTATCGCACATCACTACTGGTTAAAGTTACTTGATATTTGTTGTCTTTTTATGTTCGTAATGTACAGTAAGTATGTCAAACAAGTCAATCAGTTCCATATTTTTGTGTCAGGCAGGTGATTAAAAGCTGTCTGACATTTTTTTTAGACATTTAAATAAAGGTGTAGGCTCTGTCTTAAATTTCTATTCTTTTTAATGGCCACCAGGGGGCAATACCTAGGGCTTGTAAAAAGAATTTTGTTAGTATAGAAAGAAAAACAGTTTCCAAATGTGACCTCTCTAAACACTTTCCTGCTGTATTTAGTCATTATTTTCAGGGTGAGATTGGGAGAAAAATGATTAAGTAATGGTCAGAAATGGAGGATTGTTTCAAGTAACACACTTTTCTACCACTGTGGATGTCTAATTTGGTTGTTCTGTTTTCGGAAAAATAAGTGGTGAATTTACTGTTGGTGTCACTTGTGTTTTGCCAGACAGCCTCGTACAGCTTTTTTTTTTTTTTTTTCTTCTTCTTCTTACCTTTTTCTCCTCCATTTTACCAGTAGTGGCTGTCTTAATCCAGATCAATAATGCTGGTAATAATCAGTCTGAATTTCATAAACTCATATTTCAGCAGTTTGACTTGGTTTTGTGTCACTTTCAGTTGCTACTCGGTCCCAGGCTCGGCAGACGTGTATGTTTCAGGCCCCAGGTTCTGTTCAAGGACCAGTCTCAGCAACAGAATCCCTTTCAGCTAACCCAGAAACCATACATCCCGAGCCCCCACCATCATCAGTCCTCAAAAACTCTGGTTGGTTGTGATTTACTTATTCATTTAAAACAGAAAACAAAAAGATTTTTAAAAAATGCATAATGCATTTTAAAAAATCATAACAGTGCCACATCTGTTTCATTTAACAACATGTTGTTGTTGGTGACCATGCCATATTCATTTTGTTATCTGCAGGGTACAAAGTCATATCATGTACCTGTTAAAATGTATTTGAATAAGTTTCTGAGTACTTTAAATGTATGAAGAAATATTTTGGTCTTTTCCTTCTGTTAAATCTGAATTATATTTGTTTTTTGTCATCTAGTAATAAAACAGTTAGAGGTATGTAACCCATTTTATTGGTATTAGGTGTTAACATCTCATTTATTTATTTCTGTGTGTGTGTGTGTGTGTGTGTGTGTGTGTGTGTGTGTGTGTGTATATTAAGTGTGTATATTGTTTGTTTGTTTTTTCACATTTCAGGCAGGAGGAAATCTGTGGCTCCCATGGAGTTGAACAAAGGCAATAAAAGGCTCTCTTGTGTTATAAAGCCCCCAGATATGCAAACCAAGAGGGGAAAGGTGAAAGATTTCTTCAACCATTATTCTTTTTTTTATTTTTTTTATTTTATAATGCAAATTGTTTTAAAAATGAGCAAAACTACTCCTCATTTTGTTACAGTACCTTTTGTTTGCTTGTCTTTATAGTTTCTGGAAGGTTCCCAGCCCAACCAGAAGTTCTTTGAGATGATTCAGGATTTCAGAGCGACTTTGGAAATCACACCCTTATCAACTACTGAAACGGTAGGTTTGAAGATGGACTTACAATGTTCCATCCAGAAAGTTTTATTGTAGCTTTGCAAACTGTAGCACAGTCATTTCTCTGCACATCTCTTGCCTTTTTTAAGATTGAGCCCCAAAGGATTTGTGTGTGCGTTCGCAAGCGGCCCTTTAACAAGCAGGGTAGGTCAGGAATAATTTGTAGATTCTCTATTCTATCATCTGAATATAAAGGAGTAATTAAGGGAGAGAAAACAGTTGCCATGTTTATACACTAACTCTGATACTCTTGTGTATTGTAGAGATTAATAAAAAGGAGATTGATGTGGTGTCTGTACCTGGGAAAGGTGCGTTAGTGGTCCATGAGCCAAAACACAAGGTGGACCTCACCAAGTACTTGGACAATCAAGTCTTCCACTTTGACTACTCCTTTGATGAGACCGCCACCAATGAACTTGTCTACAAGTAACTACCTAATTTTTCCTTTAAACCAACAGTGGCTCTGATTGTACATTTTCTAACTTAGCTTTTTCAACTGGGACATTAACCAGTACAATGGAGACTCGATGTATACTTTTATACATGCTGTAATTTTCCTGTTAATGTTATGATAGTTTAATAGTTTAATAGTTTAATTATTTATATAGCACATTTAATTACAACAGGAGCGTTGACCAAAGTGCTGTACAAGAATACAACATACATAATAAAACAACTTAGAGTATTAAAAGCAAACACCAAATATGAATTAACAAATAACAAATAACTCTCATGCTGTATTAAAAGCCAGTAAATAAAAATGCGTTTTAAGATAAGATTTAAAAAGATTGACAGTAGGAGCCTGTCTGATGTGTAGGGGTAAATTATTCCACAGCTTAGGCGCTACGACTGCAAATGCTCGATCACCTCTATGAACCAGCCTCGACCTTGGTACAGCTAAAAGCAAAAGATCACTTGATCTAAGAGATCTAAGGGGGGTATAAGTCTGCAAGAGGTCAGACAAATACCCGGGAGCCTGTCCATTCAGGGCTTTGTGACTAAAATTCTGATTTTCCTTTTAGGTTCACAGCTAAACCTTTAGTCCAGTCCATTTTTGAAGGTGGTATGGCAACATGTTTTGCCTATGGCCAGACAGGAAGTGGTAAGACTCATGTAAGTCTCCCCTTGATCTAAGACTTTGAGGGTTTTTTGTTGTTGTTGTTGTTGTTGTTTGTTTTTGTTTTTTGGTGGTTGAAGCACAATTTTGCAAATGTGGAATTTATTCAAAGTCTTTATTTGTTTTTAAGACAATGGGAGGTGATTTCACAGGGAAGCAGCAGAACAGTGCTAAAGGCATCTACGGATTAGCAGGTAGGACCTTAAATGAAACAACTGGATTTTGTACAAAAAACAGACTTTGTCATAATTTGAGTCTATTCACTTCTAGCCCAGGATGTTTTTGCCTACCTCCACCACAGGAGGTATGCTAATTTGGATCTCGCTGCCTACGTCAGCTTCTTTGAGATTTACAACGGCAAGGTAGGAAGACGTGAAGGGAACACCCTTCACTCAGAAGATATCTATTGAATCCACGTGTTCAATTAATCCATATAGCAAACTAGACATTTATTTTTATTTAGGTGTATGACCTGCTGCATAAGAAGGCCAAGCTGCGTGCTTTGGAAGATGAACGACAACAGGTTCAGGTGGTCGGCCTCAAAGAGGTCTATGTGACCTCAGCAGAGGAGGTCATCAAGATGATACAGATTGGCAGTTCATGCAGGTAGTTTAGTATTGTTACGAACTTGTACAGATGTCAGCAGCAATGACCGGAGTACTTTAGTTGAAACTGCCGAGATCAACCGCAGCCTTCTGGCTCTCAAGGTAATCGATTGCTGATTAAAAGGCAGAAGTACTCTGTTTTCTCTCCATTAAATATGTCTGCACAGCAACTCAAAACACTGGTGTTTCCTCTCTTGTATCCTGTAGGAGTGTATCCGTTCACTGGGAAAGAACAGTGATCACATTCCTTTCCGAATGAGCACTTTGACCAAAGTCCTCAGGGATTCTTTCATTGGAGAGAAGTCCAGGACCTGCATGGTATGTTACCACACCAAATTTGACTTCCTCTCAGCATTGGATATTTTGAAATCCACATCAAATAAATTTTTTTCTTTGTTTCACAGATTGCTATGGTGTCTCCAGGTATGACCTCATGTGAATATACAATGAACACATTGCGCTATGCTGACAGGTATGTATTTAGCATATGAAGCTCTGAATCTGTGGGCTTTGTTTTTTTTCTAATGGGAATTCTCAGTTGCCTTATTGTATGATGAAGCTTGAAACATTTTCTGCAGAGTTTCCGGTGACGTCACCATCCTGAATGGCAGCCTAAAGTAATAGCTCCCTCGCGAAAATAGTTATTTCGTCCCTTCAGACCATCAAATACTAGACCTACAAATAATACTTGAACAGATGAGAGGGGCAAGAATGGGGAAGACGCGTGCAAACAAAGAAACCACCGCCGCAGAAACTGCAGATGCAGAAAATTCGAGGAGCAGCTCTCTTACGAAGGGACAAGAAGGCGAAGCTAATGCTAACCCAGCTCTCTCAAGTGCCGACGTAAGTTTGACAAAAATCTTGGAGGAGATTCGGGACTTCCGAAAAGACATAAAAGAACAACTGGTATTAAATCAGAGATTATCAGCGTTAATCAAAAAATAACGGAGGCAGAGGTACAAATTGAAAAAGTGGAAGACCGTGTTCAAAATTTGGAACAGACGCTGAATAAGATGATAAAAATCATGCATCAACAAGAAAATAAGTTACTTGACTAGGAAGGAAGATCCCGACGAGAAAACTTAAGGATATATAATGTTCCGGAAGGAGCCGAGGGCTCGTCTATGATGGACTTTGTGGAAAAACTACTGCGCGACACTCTGGAGATAAACCCTACTGTGGAGTTTGGCATCGAGAGAGCACACCCGGCGTTGGCATCAAGACCCGCCGGAGACAGGCAAGATAAAACGCGATCAATAATAGTCAAATTTCTCCGCTATAGGGTTAAAGAAGAGATCCTACGTAGAGCTTGGGAAAAGAAGAAAGTTTTTCTGAATGGGAAATTAATATTCTTTGACCATGATTACCCTCCAGTAGTACTGCAGAAGAGAAAGGAGTACGTAGAGGCGAAGCGGGTGTTAAAGCAGAAAAATATCCGCTTCCATACTCCGTTCCCGGCAAAACTACGAGTGTTTTATGAGGATGGAACATGTCTGTATCAGACGGCGGAGGAGGCGACCACAGACATGAAGGACAGAGGGCTTCCAGTTAATGTGACTACATCGAAGGAGAGTCTGGTCGAGCAGCTGTCCCGTACCGCCTGGGAAACAACGAGAGGACCAACTCAGCGAGGGACAGACGACGAGCGAGAGAAAGATATCAGGGCGAGACTGCGAACCTTCAGAAGACAGATCATACCCTGTCAGAGGAGTTATAAGTACTGTCGGCTTTAAAATGGAGGTAAAAATACGCGGTGTTATATATATTTCAAGATGTTTGTGTGTATATCTCTACCCCAATTGGATGAGATTATATAGATATAAGCGAGGGATGCATAAAGACACACTTTCCGTGTAATGAACAACGACTTTGTTTTCTTCCGCCTCAAGTGCCATGGCGGGGGCCCTCAGCCCATATATGGGAGAGGCTTTCCCTCACAGCTAGACGCTTTTTCTAGCTCTACCCAGGGTCACTTATTAGAGACCCCAGCCTTGGAACCACAGTCTTTTTTTCTGTACTTGTTATTTATGTTTGATATCTTTGTTTGTTTAGGGAGTAGATCTGATAAGTTTCATTTTATTTGTTCCATGGACATACGTTGATTACATATGGCTAGTGATAAAGTAAAATTTCTATCTTTCAATGTTAATGGGCTGTTAAATCCAATTAAACGTACTAAAATCCTAAAGTGAAAGCAGAACAAGCCCATATAGTCTACTTACAGGAGACCCACTTGACAGATAAGGAGCACGTAAAATTAAAGAGAATGGGTTTTACTAATTTGTTTTTTTCTTCATACAAATCAGGACATAGGAGAGGAGTTGCAATCCTTATTTCAAGCAAATTAAACTTTGAAAAAGTATCTGAAATGGGTGATAAAGAGGGCAGATTTATTCTAGTAAAAGGAAAAATAGATGGGAATTTGATCACCCTTTTAAATGTTTATGCCCCGCCAGAGAGTGATATTAGTTTCTTCCAAAGGATTATGAATATTATGGTAACAGAAACAGAAGGCCTTTTGATCTGTGGAGGGGATTTAAATATACACCTACAGCCAAAATTAGACTCGTCTAGCAGGAAAACGTATGATAGGAAATCCCCATATATCAAAGTGAATGCACTTTTTGAGGAGGTAGGATTAATTGACATATGACGAGACCTTTTTCCTAATAGAAGGGACTATACTTACTACTCTGCTCCACACTCTCTTTATACAAGGATAGATTATTTCATAACATTTGGTAAAGATAAGGATAAAATACATACTTGTGGAATTGGGACGATAGATCTAAGTGACCATGCACCAATATACTTATCCATTGATTTTAACCTACGGTTAAAAAATAATACATGGAAATTGAACTCAAGTCTGTTGAATGATTCGCCTTTTAAGGCACAAATTAAATCAGAAATTAGTCTCTTCTTAGAGTTCAACCATACCGGAGAAGTACCACCTCCCATACTATGGGATACTTTGAAGGCGGTACTAAGAGGGAAAATTATAGCAATAACTTCATTTAGGAAAAAAGATAAGAATAGAAAACTAGAGGAGTTGAATAAGAGACTAAAGGAACTAGAAAGAAGACATAAAAGGGACTCAGCACAGGATATATTAAGGGAAATCAAAAACATTAGGAA